CCCCCCCCCCACCGAGTGCACAAATTTTTGTGCACCGGGCCTCTAGTATATATATAAAAGCCTAAGCGACCAGCCAACCAGCCGACTGGCCGGTAGCTATGACGCGCACTGACCAGCAGGGGGCAGACGCTCAACGCAGGAGCGGAAACCCAGGCATGGAAACATGGAACAGACTGATGAATCTCAGAGGGAAGGGGGAGGGGAGGGTGGGAAGAGATTAACCAAAGATCTTATATGCATACTAGAGGCCCAGTGCACGCATTTGTACACCGGTGGGGTCCCTCAGCCTGGTCTGCAGGATTCGAGCCAAAACTGGCTCTCCAATATCCCTGGGGGGGTCCTGGATTGTGAGAGGGCACCGGATCTCTAATATATAATAAAAAACAACCAATAAATTATGAACATGTCACCAAGGGGTTAGAAAAACACCAGTGGTCAAGTCATTGAACCAAAATATTGTATTCCAAATCCTCTGCCAAGATCTTAAAAATAGCCACTTAATTTCCCAAATGAATGACTCCCTCCCCTGATGCCCTTTACCACAGATGAGGAATGAAGCCCTCTGCAATGCCCTTTACCACAGATGAAGAATGAAGCCCTCTGCGCAATGTCCAGAAAAGGCAGATTCCCCTACCTGACAAAATGTCTTCTGCTAATTCCTTTTCTCTTTCAATTTTTTCCTCTAGAGTTGAAATGCAGAATTCATAGCCAGCAAGAGCAAATTCCTGTCTGTAAAGCAAAGATCAGCATCGGCTATTCACCTTTTCACAAACTCTTTTATCCTCATTTTCCCAGCTGGGGTTTGAATTTTATCAATAAAGGAAGTGTGAAGATGGGAAGAGAAATTTTGTTTAAAGTCTCTGAAGGATGTCAATCAGCCATTTCTCAAGTTACATATTTTTTTCTAGTCACCCATTTAATGTAACTTAAGACATAAAAAGCTAGGAATGCAGCCATGGTTTTAATAACTGACATAACCAGCAGCTTTCATCATCTCGTGTGAACAGTTGAGTCACTTTTTTGCTCAAAGTAATACTAATACGAATGGAGGCAAAAGCCACTAATGACCTCCTACAATTTTGGAATAACTTTATACGTCTTCCAACCTGTAGGTCTTTGATGAAAGTTTCTTTCACAAAATGGAACCCCTAGCTGTGGCACTGGGAAGCAGTTAGCCTCACTCCAGCCCTGGTGTCCTCCCAGCAGCAGACTGAGTAGAACAAGGGTCAACTGCTGGTTTCTGTAAAGAGATGCACAGAAACATGACAGAAACTCCTCCATCCAGAAGCTCAGTCCTGGCTCTAGTTTCTTACCGGAAGTGGTACTAGAAAGCTCAGCCCTTCTCCTCTAGGAAGAACAGGTGGTCCCACAGTTCAGAAGCTTCCCCAGACCCAAACCCTGGCAGACATGGTTTGGATCCAGCCAGGACACGGAGCAGGGGCGGCTGGCCACAAGATGCTCCTAGTCAGAGCAAAATGTCCAGAAATGACTTCCCTCCTAATGTCAGTCTCTCTAAGCCTCAGGATCTAACTGTATTTTCTGGTCTCATACTTTTCTTAACAAAACAAAAAAACACTTTTGCGGAGAGTACAGAGTAATTTATAAACTAATTATTAATGGCTCCTACACAAGGTTTCACCTCTATAAGACCATGAATTTGTCTTACTTTCCAGTGTGATTAGCTTTGAGCTTCTTACCCTAGGAGTTCACACCCATCAACTCCTAGTCCTGTTACTCCTCCAAGGCAGACTGACCCAGCTGCAATGCTGCCAGGAACGGACCACTTTCAAGCTCCACAAAAGACTGGGAGTCAAAGACCCTCAGAAGTGCTTGACCGTCTAGCCATTCCTGGTGACAAGGGTCAGTAGGGACCAGTGGCAGGGCCCCTCGCCTCCATGAGCACCAGACTTGATGTTATTCCAAATCTCTAGTACCCAACTTCTGCAGCAACTAAAATCTAAGGAAAAGCTTGTCTTAGTTCTTCCCAGAATATAACTCTCTAGAGCAGCGGTTCTCAACCTGTGGGTCGTGACCCCTTTGGGGGTCGAACGACCCTTTCACAGGGGTCGCCTAAGACCATCGGAAAACACATATATAATTACATATTGTTTTTGTGATTAATCACTATGCTTTAATTATGTTCAATTTGTAACAATGAAAATACATCCTGGATATCAGATATTTACATTACGATTCATAACAGTAGCAAAATTAGTTATGAAGTAGCAACGAAAATAATTTTATGGTTGGGGGTCACCACAACATGAGGCACTGCATTAAAGCGTCGTGTCATTAGGAAGGTTGAGAACCACTGCTCTAGAGGAGTTCTTTGCTTACACCCTAAGTGTTTCTTCTTTGAACTCCATCTGGAGAGAACGAAAGGCTCCGGCCCTCACTCATCAGCTCCTGACACATCCAAATGGTTTTCTAAAGCCTTTTCTGTGTAGCTGGCAGATTTCCTTCTTTCTAAGGATCGAGACTCATCTAATACTTTTAAATGAGCATCGACTTCCTGTCCCACTTACCCAGAAGTCTCTCTACTCCTAGGTATTTCCCCTTCCTAAAATCTAGCTACCTGACCATCTCTGGATGCTTTAAAAATACTGCCAACCAAACCAGCCACTAAGACACTCCATAGCAACTCTCATTTAACTTATACCTAACTTCCTAGTTGGGTAATACTTATATCAGCAAAATGGTTTCTTCAAAGTTTATTACCCCTAGCAGCTTTTACACTGCTTCCTTCTCTTCTAGAAAGAGCTCAACTCAAGTTGCTTCCCTTCATTAGCTTTGTCTCTGTGCAGCCAGGGCTGAGGGCTATATTCCTCACTCAGCAGGGTCACTGAAACAGCAGGGGCAACACTGGGAAAGACTGAGGATTTCAATGATGAAGAAGGGAACACTTTGAATGTGACACCCAATTTTGTGAAGACCCAGATGATCTGGAGACCCAGTAGGTAAATGAAAACTATACACCATCCCGGGATCACAGTTTTCTGTCCACAGTCCTAGAGTCTGGCTACACTTACCGATTCTGAGCAGCATAGATACTGGCCAACTTTAGAGAGATTTCAATTATTGCATTGTCTTCCTATTGGGAGAAAGAAAATACATGACAAGTAAAACTTCCTCATGGACTATTTCAGATCAACTTCTAGATTGACTTGGGCCTGAACGTCAGTCTTTATCCTTCTGGAGGAATTAGGCACCTGTGAATTCCTCAGTTACCATGCTTTTGCATGAGTGAAAGAGTGGCAGTTTTCATACAAGTCCTGGAAGGGGGAGGGGCCTACCCCCCCCCCCCCCGCCCCCCGCAAAGCACATGTTGGGAGCTGGGTGTTTTCAGGAAGCAAGACTATTTTGAAATCAGCTTCAGCTAGGGCCCAATCCTAGGCAATATTCTTACCTGTTGCATGCCCCCTCCAAGCAGGTAACTCATTGTTGCTTTAAAAAGTTTTTCTGCCTAAAAGCATAAGGAAAAGATTTTTGTTTTATTTGGGTCCACTATCTAGATGACCCTGGATTCTAAGTACTAGTCTGATGCATCATTCCTCATAAAACACAATACGCACACACATTCACATACAGAGAAAAGTATCCTTGTGATGGGAAAACAGACTAAAAAATCTGGACCCCCCCATATGCTCTGGGCACCTTAAAAACTATTCTGTGTTGTCAAACTGCAGCGGGAAGGCCGGGGAGGGTTGGGGGGCAGGAGGGAGGGGGGTAAGAGATCAACCGAAGGACTTGTATGCATGCATATGAGCATAACCAATGGACATAAGACACTGGGGGGTAGGGGAGGCCAGGGGATTGTCAAGGGCGGGGAAAAAAAAGGACACATATGTAATACCCTTTGTAATACTTTAAGCAATAAAAAAAAAATTTAAAAAAAAACAAAAAAACTATTCTGTGATGAGTGAAAACTTTAGAAGTTAACTTCTAATCCCAAGCCACTGTGGCAGAGACTGCAAACTATTCCCTACTATTCACTCTCCTCTCCATCTTTTCAGTTATAGAATCTCCTTAATTTTGTATAAGTCAGCCTCCTTTGCAATTAGGTATGGTCATATGATAAAGTTTTGGTCAAAAGATGCAGGCAGAAGGAATGTGAACAATTTTTAACTCATATTTTTTAAGTAAGCTGCGTGCCCTCCATCCTCTCCTCCTTCCTTCCTGCAAACTGGAGATGAGCCAGCTGATCTATGCAGATGGGGACCTATCTAAGAAGAAACCTGGGCTTCTAGACCACTTCATGGAACAAAGGTACAAAGCCCCCTTTGGTGATTAACAACCTCTGGACTAATGCACTAGAGAGAAATACACCTCCGTCTTGTTTGAATCACTCTATTTTGGGGTCTCTTTGTTACAGTGGCTTAGCCTGTAACCTTACTAACAGTGTTCCCTTGAAGCCAATCCTTCACAAATTCAAGGTATTACAAAGTGATTTACTTACTTACATTTTCAAGCTGACCCCGTATAAATGCTAAGTTGGCCATCTGAAAATAAATTATAAATTGTTTTTCAGTTTAGAACACCGTGTTCTTACTTTAAAACTTTTAAGCTAATGACTCCTTTTTGCTTTCATCCTCTAATTAAAAAATTGTTCAGAGAAAAAAAATATGTCACTAATCTACCAGAAGCAAAGCACAGCAATGGTATGAGAATAAATAGTTGCATATGCTTTGTGGATGTCAATCCAAATCTAAATTCACTTATCCTCAAAAAAACAAATGTTAATGATATTTGTTTCTTTTGAGCCTGGGATCGAAACTTCTTATAAGTGACACCCCAAGGATAATAAAAATTAGAAAAAAAAAAAAAAACTTAGTAAAACAAAAACCAAGAGGGTCAGGAATATAAATCAGTAGTGCTAACATCCCTTCTCTTGCATCCACCCTTCATCAGTGGCTGAGATTAGTTACATGAGTTACCAAATCGTAAGTGTAAACGATGGCCTTCTTGTTATCACTCTGAATGGCAAGACGAAGTGCCTCGTGCAAAATTAGCTCAGCCTCTTCTGGCTCATCTTTCATGATGCTCAACTGAAAAGAGAAAAACATGAAAATGAAATGTAAAGAAAGCAGATGATGTGTTACCAGACAGAAGAGGATATGGCTGTACATCCCAACACATAGAAGGAAGCCATTCATTCATCAAATATTCACTGAACGCACCAGGCATTATGTCTATAATGGATGGCCATATGACCAAGTCTTGGCCAACAGATGCAGACAGCAGGAATGTGAGCAATGTTTGCATCATGATTTAAAAGAAAGCTCCTTGCCCTACACCTGTACAACAAATAAGCTTAATTACAACTCATGATAAGACCTATGAAAAAATAATGGAAAGAACAATAAGGGTGTCCTCTAAATGGGGGCCAGAGCTTTCCAAGTAAGTGATGGCTAAACTGAAGAAAGAAGGATGAGAGAGTCACCCAAATAAATTGTGGGGGGAAATGACCCAAACAGAGAGTAAGGAATGAGCAAAGGCCCTGCAGACAGAAGAGAGCAGTTCTTTAAGAACCATTCAAGAAATGAAAAGAGATATGAAAGAAAGATGGTGAACCAGAGGATTATTGTAAGTGGGTGGGCAAGGTAAGGTGGTGTCAATCTTGTAGGGTCTTGCAGGCCATGGCAAGAAATTTGAATTTAATCATAAAAGCAGTGAAAAGCCCCAGCCAGGTGGCTCAGTTGGTTGGAGTGTCGTCCTGTACGCCAAAAAGGTTGCGGGCTCAAACCCCTGTTGGGTCGAGAACGGGAGGCAACTCTCTCTCTCCCTTCCTCTCTCTCTAAAATCCATAAGAAAACATATCCTCAGGTGAGGATTTAAAAAAAAAATGCAGTGGGAAGTCATTCAAAGTTTTTAGGCAAGAAGGTGATACGATCTGACTCACTTTCTTAAGAAGGTCACTCTGGCTGCATGGAGAATGGCTTGCAGGGGCGATAGGGCGGCTCGGTGACAGCAGAGGCGACAAAGGAGAGGGGCTGATTTTTTTATCTGTTGGCAACAGGAACTGTTGCTGGACTGTAAGTGTATTGGGAGGTGGTGATAAGACGCCTCAAGTTTTCAGAATCACTGAGGTTTTCAGGCTAAAGACCTGCACTGATGGTAGTAAAGAGAAGGTGGTGAAGGAAATGTGTTGGGAGGAATTTAAATTCAGGTTGGTTTGCGGCCAGTTCATCGGAGAGGCAGGCAGCGCCTCCCCGTGCAGAGGGCGTGTCGGTGGCGCCCTGCGGCGTGGAAATGCCACCCTGGACACTGCGGGCATCGGGCGGCAGGTGACCCAACAGAAGAGCAGGCAACCTGGGGGAAGAGGAAGTAGAAAGGAAAGCGGAGAAGGACGAGTGTAGAAAAGAGGACCGGCCCGCTCAGAGGCACCACTGAACCTCACTCCCAGGCCGTTGCGTACTGCGTGTGAGAAACTCTCTGCCCGTCCGGCCACCTGGGCTGGTTCTCGGACAAAAACCACAAGACGTTTCCGCTCATTCCGTCCCCGAGAGCGACGCCCGGTGCCCCTTGCACCTGCACCTGCGCCGGAGACGGCGGCTCGGAAAAGCCTTGGAGACCGACAGCCGGGCCGGACTCCAGCGCCGCCTTCGCCCCGCCCCGTCCAA